GAAAAGACTATTGACTCTAAGAGCTGGAAGCCCATGATACCGCTGACAACACAAGGAACTGGCGAATCGGCAAGAGCCACTTTTCTTTTTGTGAGAGCTGAACTGAAATAAACTAAACTGAGCCGTTCCACGTACAAGAGGTCCTGGTAGTAAAGTAAAATTTCCTGCTCGTTTTCTTTAACTATTCGCTTTTACCAGTGCCTTATCGAGTATTTAGTTTGCACTTTCACTGTAGAAGAGGGGGGTTACTGTAATTTCTCACCTTTCTATCTACTTTTCTACGACATCATTGTACAACTTGTGTTAATATGCATAAATAATTACAACACAATAAAAACTCTGTCCGTGACTACGCACGTGTTCCTAAAACCGGCCATCGTCGAAGCAGATTCTTTCAGCGGTACCCCAAATTCATCTAAGTGTCAAGTTTTTACACCTTCGTTGCCAGCACCTGTAACAATGACTCCTCTCACTGTTTTCCCTTCTTTGGTCGCAAAACCTACTTCGGCAGGTGATACTGCCGCACCCGTGACCAAGAGAAATCGAAGCGGCCGTACGCTACGACAACCCGTTAGATTTAATGATTACGTAGACTGTGTACATTTGTAAAATATCAACCTATTTCTAAGTGACGCGTCCCGTATAGTTCACCTTAACTTGCACTTTGTATAGTTGTTGATATTTTTTGTGCATATGCGACCGCACCTTACACGCAGCACCATGCTTGAGGTGTATCGTATGATTGTACATCCGCTGTACCGCAAGGCGCATAATTTCCCCCGCTTTCTGACGTTTCAGCTACATACCGTACTTTACACAACGCACTCGTTCGACTCTGACAATCACTTGCCACCCCCGCGGTCCTTCCGCATCGGTCCACAACCGGATCTCAGAACACCTCCATCTTGGATCGTGCAGATACCCGGCTGTTTTCCGAACTAGAATTTAGCTTGCTTGTATCCCCAACATTCTCCCCATGGGTCAGCAGAGGACGGAGAAACTCATGCAACAGCAAGAAGCAGGACCAACACCAAACGTCAGTCGTCTTCGAAAGACCACGAATACAGGCCTCTATCTCTACATGAAATTGAGAGCCTTGGCGACAAGCCACCGGACGGCAGGTGTGAGGCATGGAAAACGTCTTATGCCGGGTCCGTTCCTTCGGTGCGTCGCGGTGGGCGGTGTAGAGAACGTCGCCTGCCACCAAGAAGACAAGGTTTGTTGCGTCGCGCACACTATCGAATTCCAACTCCGTTGCCATTCTATGGGGGGACTCTGTAGTGACTCTGCTTTGTCACTCGTGTTTTACGTCACGTTCTTGTTTTACTGAACGTTGACGTGCGTTGCTTCCACACACTTCCAACTCGGTCGTTCAACGCACCATGCGACGCCACTGTGTTTTAAGTTTAAATATAGTGCTTTGGTCCAGGTCTCGCAGTCTGCCTTCTATTTTGTTCACGTTGGCCGTTCGGACCTCTTGTTCGTACTTGTAAATCGTTGCGACTGGTGGAGACTTTCCAGGGTCTGTAAAGTCGTTAAGACAACCAACCAGGGCCACACGTGGACGGAACCAGTGCTTCCTTACAATTTACCACTGAACCTAGGTAAGTATCAGTTCTTGGCAACAAAAGCTAATGATAACACGAGCGGTGTGATGCATTTGCAGCATGTGTCTGAGGCAACGGATCTAGGGGTAGTGATTACAAATGACTTCAGGCGACCCCTGCAGTGCTAGCCTGCGGCTAACAAAGATCGACGGGAACTTTTCAGGTTGTGCGCTGTTATAGGTTGCAGAAGACCCGAGGTTTTTGTACCTTTGTACAAAACTATTGTGCACCCTCATCAAGAATATTGCGTACAATCATGGGTGCCGTATTTCAAACAAAACGAACGCCGTCTTGAGAAAGTACAGGGGTTAGCAACCAGAATGTCAACAGGCCAGAAAGGTAAAAGATTGCTCCAACGACTATAGGGCCTGGATCTGCTCTCCCTGGCCCGCGGACAACTGCAGGGCGACCTTATAGAGATAGTTAAGATTGTCAAAGGGCCTTCTGGTCTAAAGTTGGAAGACTTATTCTCAATTGTTCCTGCCAGGGTTATGAGTGGAATCAACTTACGTTGGAAAGAATTCATTGTAGAATAAATCCACGAGATAAGATTTTCACAAGCAGGGCTATGCCACTGTGAAATAAATTACCTGAAGCGCTGGTAAATTGTATTAGTGTCGAATCTTCCAAGAGCAAGCTAGATAAATGCTGGGCCGCAGTATTTCTCGAGGTTGAATGTTGAAAGTTAATCTTTATGCTTTACGTTCCTAAACATTGTAATGGGTCTTATACTGCGCAATTCCTGCCTTACGGAAAAGACTATTGACTCTAAGAGCTGGAAGCCCATGATACCGCTGACAACACAAGGAACTGGCGAATCGGCAAGAGCCACTTTTCTTTTTGTGAGAGCTGAACTGAAATAAACTAAACTGAGCCGTTCCACGTACAAGAGGTCCTGGTAGTAAAGTAAAATTTCCTGCTCGTTTTCTTTAACTATTCGCTTTTACCAGTGCCTTATCGAGTATTTAGTTTGCACTTTCACTGTAGAAGAGGGGGGTTACTGTAATTTCTCACCTTTCTATCTACTTTTCTACGACATCATTGTACAACTTGTGTTAATATGCATAAATAATTACAACACAATAAAAACTCTGTCCGTGACTACGCACGTGTTCCTAAAACCGGCCATCGTCGAAGCAGATTCTTTCAGCGGTACCCCAAATTCATCTAAGTGTCAAGTTTTTACACCTTCGTTGCCAGCACCTGTAACAATGACTCCTCTCACTGTTTTCCCTTCTTTGGTCGCAAAACCTACTTCGGCAGGTGATACTGCCGCACCCGTGACCAAGAGAAATCGAAGCGGCCGTACGCTACGACAACCCGTTAGATTTAATGATTACGTAGACTGTGTACATTTGTAAAATATCAACCTATTTCTAAGTGACGCGTCCCGTATAGTTCACCTTAACTTGCACTTTGTATAGTTGTTGATATTTTTTGTGCATATGCGACCGCACCTTACACGCAGCACCATGCTTGAGGTGTATCGTATGATTGTACATCCGCTGTACCGCAAGGCGCATAATTTCCCCCGCTTTCTGACGTNGTACAAGAGGTCCTGGTAGTAAAGTAAAATTTCCTGCTCGTTTTCTTTAACTATTCGCTTTTACCAGTGCCTTATCGAGTATTTAGTTTGCACTTTCACTGTAGAAGAGGGGGGTTACTGTAATTTCTCACCTTTCTATCTACTTTTCTACGACATCATTGTACAACTTGTGTTAATATGCATAAATAATTACAACACAATAAAAACTCTGTCCGTGACTACGCACGTGTTCTCCACATGTTGCTGAAGCATTCCGAGTATATTACCTGGTATCTTCATGCGGTCTTTAAACTGTCACAGTCATCCTTTTCAGCTCCACTGCACATTTTCCGTCGGAGCCACACTTCCGAGGAACAAGATCTGTAATCAACCGGACAATCCTTCTTTGAGTCTGTTGCATGTACCGTTCATTTCATTACTACTCGTATGTGTAGTCTATTTTCTACTACATAATAACAAGGACTCAATTTGAGTGCCGCGGTCAGTACCCAATGTATTGGAACACTCAACTCCCGACGACTACCTTTTTACAGTTTTCGCTGGGATATCGGTGATTGGAACTGCTTCTGTCCAACGCGTAAAACGGTCCACACAGGTCACAAGGTAACTTAAACTTTGCGATGGTTCTAACAGCCACTATATCTAAGTGTGTGACTGAACCTGGCATCGGGTGTGCCAAAATTACTAAGAGGGCTAGTGGCATGCTTGATTACATTAGATTGTCGGCAGGCCAAATAGCAACATGCCCAACTACGCGCATCTTTGTGCATGGATTGCCAGACAAAACGTTGGCTGATTAGTACCGGACTAGCTGTAATGTCTGGTTCAAAGAGGTTATGTTATGTGTCGAAAACTACTCTGTGCATCCGCACGGATACCCAAGGACAAGATGGGGTGCGTGAAAATTCACACCATATCGTGCCCTCAGAAGTGGTCAGTGGTAAACACTGCAGATTAAGCAAAGACTTCAATGCATTTCACAAGTCCAGGTCGGAATCTTGCAGTCGTGCCAGAGATGTCAATCGATCACGTTATCGGTAACTACCGCTATGAAGATGAGAGCCTCGGCAACTACGTTATTCGTTTCACTCTCCGCCTCGGCTGGACGAATACTCCCAGTTGATGCTGTTCCTCCATCTGAAGTGGAGGTTTCTCGGGAAATAAGGTATAGCAAAAGGCATAAGTCCTCTGACTGAGATTGGCTGTTCCCATTAGCGTTTAAGGATGGAGGCTCAGCGTTATTCTTGGAGTTGACAAAACTCTTGGGTTCAATATGGGAAGGGGAAGCGGTTCCAGCTGAATGGTGTGAGTTGGTGATCATACCGATTTACAAGAAAGGTAATAGATCCTCTTGTGAAAACCATAGAGGAATTAGTTTAATCAACATAATCTCTAAACTTCTCTCTGGCATCATACTCCGCCGATTGTCTGCCGCACGCGAACGGTGCACGCGTGAGAACCAGGCTAGTTTTAGACCCGGTTGAGGTTGTATCGACCACATCTTCACTCTGCGCCAAATTCTGGAGCACCGGCATTCTTTTTGTAGACCAACCATCGCTGTCTTGTTAGGTCTCAAAGCGGCTTTTGACTCAGTCGACCGGTCCAAACTCTTGCCCTGCCTTTTCCTGAAGGGTATGCCCGAGAAATTAATTTCAATATTAATTTTATTATCATACGAATAGCCGAAGTCGAGTCCGGACTTACGGCACTTTTTCTCCCGAGTTCATCACGGAAAGGAGTGTTCGACAGGGTTGCCCTCTCTCCTCTTTTCTATTTAACTTTTTTATAGATCTGATTATGGAAACAGCCCTATTCTCGTGTGAAGATAGTGGCATCGATTTACTCCCAGGTGGCAGGCTGTCTGGTCTAAAATATGCAGATGACATTGTGCTACTAAGTGAAGATGCAGGTGAGTTGCAAGCATTTCTGGATAACTTGAATGCCAGTGTAGCCATATTAGGTATGCGTTTTGCACCTTCAAAGTGAAAAATGTTGATAGAAGACTGGGTTGGTCCAGAACCCAACCTCACTGTAACTGAGGAAGTAGTAGAGCAGGTGGATAAGTTTTGTTATCTGGGCAGCTACATCTCACCCGGTGGACGCATCACGGGAACAGGTGGATAAGTTTTGTTATTTGGGCAGCTACATCTCACCCGGTGGACGCATCACGGATAGAAGTAATAGAGCAGGTAGATAAGTTTTGTTATTTGGGCAGCTACATCTCACCCGGTGGACGCATCACGGATGAAGTGGAGTTTTGTTATTTGGGCAGCTACATCTCACCCGGTGGACGCATCACGGATGAAGTGTCAGAAGAAGGCTCGGTTGGCATTTGCCAACTTGAGACATCTGTGGCCCCGTCGCGACATCCGGCTGAGTTGGCATTTGCCAACTTCAGACATGTGTGGCGCCGTCACGCTATCCGGCTGTCTGTGAAGGACCGAGTGTATACCGCGACAGTTCGGCCAGTCCTACTATACGGTGCAGAAACTTGGCCATTAGGAAAAAAGGTTAAAGGCATACTGTCGGTGTTTAAACACCGCTGTATTCGCAGCATTGCACGAGTCTGGTGGGGTAGCCGGATGAGCAATTCTGAGGTCAGGAGCAGAGTTTTGAGTAAATACGGTCGCCCACTGAAGCAAGTGGTCGGCCTCCACAGAATAAGTTGGCTGGGGCATGTGTTACGCATGTCACAAGATAGGTTGCCGCGGAGAGCAATGTTCTCTGAAGCAGACACCGAGTGGAAAAAAACCATGGGTGGTCAAGCTGAGACCTGACACGAGGGTATGAAAACCCTAACCAGGAGACTGGGTCACATAGGTCCCGTTAGGCTCCCTGACTGTGGACCTCGGGATGATCGTAACCGATGGTTGGAGACACTGAGCGATATAGCTGGGTGTCATAAACAGTGGTGTTCGTGCATGTTCTCAATTTCTTTGCAACCTTAGACCACTGAACTTCTCCATTTTCTTTTCGACTCGACTTTCAACTTTCCCTTCTGCTCCTATTCTTCATCCTAATGAGCAGCCAAAAGACAGTATTAAAAATCGACACGCGAATATGTGTCGTTGTTGGTTGTACAATCTGAAATGAACTGAACAAGCAAGGTGTCCAATTTCAGTAGTAAATAGCTACATTTATCCCAAGTGACTTATCTATCGAGGAGATTATCTGACCTAGGCGCATATATATGTGGTTTAAGTCCTTGAATATAACGAGATCACGATATTTTGGTGAGTGAAGAAAATGACGAACAGCCAGGTATGCGGCGAACAGTTGGCGATCGAAGGTGCTGTAACTAATTGCTGCGTCCAAAAAGCGTTGTGAGTAGATACCTAGAGGGTGTTGGGCATTGTTTTTCACTGCTGGAGGACTGCACTGGCCCCGATGTCTGACGCGTTCAATGCTAACAACAGCACAAACCTCAACGATAGGCTGGAGTCCATTGAACTAGTCAGCTCCACCCTAGCTCCACTGCTTGGCCTCATGGACCCCTCGTTCTAACCTATGAACCACCTCGCCCAATCAGGGTCGTTGCTTGATTCTATCACTTCTGAAATTTTTAAGCGTGTTCTCATGTAAAAAACCGCAGTTGTTTTCAACTTACCTCACAAAATCTCCCTGGCTCCTGAGAACATAATCCTGAAAGCTGCATGCATGGACCGTTACCTCTGCAATTTTACCCGACTCCAAAAAGATCCCAAAGGTACTCTTGCTCTTGTTTTTCCAATGCCCTAGTGAGTTTATTATCAAAGGAAACGACATTTTGAAAAATATCAACCTTAGAACCATAAATATGTTTTTTTAAAGTACCCCACTTCAAATGACCACTTGGAATATGAACCAGGGAAACTATGAAATGCACAGCATCTCTACGTTAGCTAATGCTTATCCCCCAAAATTAGCTTACCGGTACCTCCTGACTCCCGTATACCTACATCAATTACTGATCTTGACACTCATCCAAACAATCCATGTCTCAGCCCCAAAACCCTTGTCCCCATCAATCTGCCAGTGAATCCCATCTTCTTCTGGTGGAAAATGCTCGCCCTCAAATGAGACTACTCTGCCATGTCAAACCCCCATTTCGGTTCCCAAAAAAGCCCTTTAGCATAAGTGGATCCCTACGGTCTCATTCACAGCTCGAAGTTTTATGCCCCGTCTGGAAACTAATGTAACTTGTAACTAATTTGTAACTCCCGAATAGATCAACGAGCAACGCGTAGCCGAAATTGGATCCCAAAACGTCAATAAAACGAACGATCCGCAAATTTCTACGGTACTNAATAAGCGATCAAATAAGCAAACAGAAAATGTACAAACCTCAAAGTGACCTCAAAACAACTTAAAAACAAGAGCCAAGTGTCACTGTGAGCGTAATTCAACAAATCTGAATGGAAGAAAAAGAACCTGGGTAGGATTAGCACTCTTACCGTCATGCTGCACATGAGCGAGCCAAATGCGAACGCTGAAGTTGCGATTAAAACAAGTAAGGTAAAAATTGAAGCAGATAAACAAACAAAGTCAA